ATACTTTTACAGTTATTCAAAGTGAATTGACAAGACAAGACACAGAAATCGTGGGTGAGTTAAAAGTAGCCAAAACATAAAATATATCAAGCAGACACACGCTCCCGCTTGGAGCCACTGATGACAAAAAGTGTCATTCCAAATAAAATTATTATTATAATATTAGTAACAGGTTAGTAAATAGGGCAAATAGGAATTATGGGCATGAAGGCGAATTTGATTGATTGAAAAAAAAAACAAAAAAAAAAAACAGTTCATCGAAAGTAATAAAGATATGATGATGATGGTAAAACCAATTGTACTTGAATTGCAGGGTTCTTGATACCATATTCCAGAAAATGAGACACTACTGACACTACATAATCTTTTGATATAATGTTGTATAAATAGCTAATTTTTTATTTCTGCATTTCTAAAGGGTTCCTCCTAGGTCTCCTAGATACCTGACAAATTTCTGGTTATGACAGCCTACAAATTATGTAGGTCTATGCTTAGGGTATTTTTAAATCTATGAGAAATCATGGAAGTTTACTTGAAAATGTGGGGGGGGGGGCTTCACTATAATGACTATAACTTTTTTTCTCCGAGGAGGATTGAAGAGGAGTTTTTGCATGTTAAAGAGGACACCAGTGCGCATCGATTGATACTAAAAAACCTTTGTTAACAATTTTTTCCCGGTACATCAGTAAAATGACCAGACTAGTTCTTTTAGTAGCAAGTTTCTTCAAATAAATCCATTCCAATTGAAGAAACCAACAAAGAAAAATTCATATAGTTTGTGCTCTTAGTCTTATATTTTTCTTTTTCGAGATTCTATCAAATTACCGGTATATGCAGCCTAGTAGCCTTTTTTTGTCTTCTACTTTTGTTGAGTACGATTCTTAAGACTGATTGCCCTTACACTGTCATTAGTTCTGTAATTGGCAAAAATGGATTCCTATTGTAATCAAAAACCTAATCATCTATGTTCATCTATTTTAAGACATTAGTTTTAATAGGTACAGTACAGCTTAGCTTATTGTTGACAGCAGAGGCGTAGAGAGGTGGTGACTGGCCTTAGTGCAAAGTAATTGCCGGGCCCTAAAAGGCACATGATCGTACCCAGAGACAGAGACTTGGTGGGATCTACATAGGCGAAACTCATAATGCTCATACATTCTGATATTGTTTTTATAAGATACGGCATTTTAACATGCATATATAAATTATTCAAAAACATTCAAGGATATTGAGAACAAAATATAGTCAAGAAGTCATATACAGTATTTTATCGTTGAGGGACTACAGTATTTGGAATTTCTTTGAGTCTCTTTAATATAAAGTATAACAATAGAAATCAATGACCTGATTGCAGTGAAGTAAAATGTAGGCCTTTTCATGAAGTACAATGATCTGACGCGATTGAAAAATGTGCACAATATAGTTCAATAGATTATCAAACAATAACACTTTATGTGGGTGCCGATATTTTAAAGGCTTTAGAAGTACTGTATGTTTTTAAAAAGTATTTCAATGCATCGTACCGTGGTATAAAGCATATGCAAATACCTAACACAAGAAAATAGCCTTGATTGTATTCAATAGGTACGAAGCTGTTCATGGCATGTTTTTTTCGTAAAATGTCATCCTACGTACAGTGTGTGATTGCACGTAATAGGTAAATTGTAATGAATATAATCTCTAATTATGGCCTCTAAACATGATGTATACCAAGTGGAAGATTTAAGTAGGAATTTTTAAAGTTATATTTTTTAATCTATATGCCTAATGAATGCCCCCAGGGTCAATTGTTTTGTACTGCCTGCACTGCCCATACCTATGGGGTGCCATACGCAGCAAAAG